ACAGTGACAGTTGCGCAGCACCAGATCTAGCCTCCCAGGCTTGTTTTAAGCTTTTGATTACCAAGACTTACCACCTTCACTGTCTCAGGAGTCTGAGATAGGAGGATGGCTGTGAGCTGGAGGTCAGTCTTGTCTACACAGTGGGAACCTGTTTTGAGAAAATAAAAATATCTGGCCTTGGTGGTATATGCCTTTAATCCCAGCATTGGAGGTGGAGATAGGAGATTCAGGAGTTTAGGACCACCCTCAACTACATAGGGAGTTGGGGGCCAGCCTGGACATGAGACCCTATCTCAAAAAAGAAAAAATTAAGAAATAAAGACAGGGTGGGGGTGTGAGTGCATCTCCCATGGTTCCTAGAGGCCATAAGTGCCCTGCCTGATCCGCCTGTGCCATCACCTTTGTCCTGGCTCTGGGCTCTGAGCCAGGAAGTGGCCTTGTCTCCAGCCCAAGATGGTCTCATAAACCCTCTGTTGGCCAGGTCCACAGGCCAAGACTCCTGGGACAGCCCCAGGGTGCGGCAGCTAGACTTTGTGTCTTGGGCCTCAAGCCAAGCCGCTGCTTCTGCTTGGGCCTCAGTTTCCCTCTGTTCTGATCTCTGGTGCTGGGGACAGAACCCAGGGCTTTTGCACATGCTAAGCAGATGCTCTGCCTCTGAGCTGCATCCCCAGCCCTCTCTTCCTTAATTTAATTAATTTGTTTTGTTTTTTTCTTTGAGACCAGGTCTCCTCCCTATAGCCCCAGCTCGCCTGGAACATGCTACGTAGCCCAGGCTGGCCTCCATCTCACAGAGATCCACCTGCCTCTGCCTCTGCAGGCTGGGGTTAAAGGCGTGCGCCACCACGCCCGGCCCTGCTCTCCACTGTATTCCCTTGAAACAGGGTCTCTCAGGGACCCCCGAAGCTCACTGTCCAAGTCCAGCTCCTCAGATCCACCTCTCTCCACTACTCCAATATTGAGGTCATGAACATGTGTGTCTCTACCTGGTTTGTTACATGAGTGGCGAGGATTTGAACTCAAGGCTTCTTGTTTTCCCAGCAAGACCCAGTGAGCCATCTCCCCAGCCCCTGAGCCCCTTTCTTGACTTACTCAGATCCAATTCCTGATCTATGGACCCAAAAGAAAGTAGAATGGGACAGGGGCTGGAGAGCTGGCCCAGCTGTTAAGTGCACTGGCTGCTCTTGCAGAGGACCTGGGTTCAGTTTCCAGCACCCACATGGCAGTTAACAATCATCTGTAACTCCAGTTCCAGAGAATCCAATGCCCCCTTCTAGCATATGCAGGCATTGCATGACACAGGTGCACTTGCATACATGCCAGATAAACACTCAAACATATACAATCAAAATAAAATATTTTAAAAATTAGAAAAAAAAAAGAAAGCAGAGCACAGATCCACATACAGACTTGGCTACAAAGTGACGGGAAAGTCACTCATAACATTCCCCAAACTGGAAACAACCTCATAGTCCAGCAACAGGGAAATGGCTTAAGAAGTCATAATCCAGCCATAGGAGTGAATATTATGCAGCAATGAAAAGGGAACTATACATACATGCAAAAAACACACGTGAACTGGCCTAGGAACACACACACCTCTCATCCTAGCATTCGGGCAGTAGAGGGAGGGTAAGCAGGTGTTCAAGGTGATTCTGGTTCCATAGCAAGTTTGAGGCTAGCCTGGGCTGCTTGGGCTGCATGAAGACCCTGTCTCACAGAAAAAAACAAACAAACAAACAAAAAACAAAAAATAGAGCCAAAAAATGAGTATTTTTCTTTTCTTTAAAATATTATTTTTATGTGTATGCGTATATTGCCTGCATGTATGTAAGTTCACCCATGTCGTGCAATGCCCGTGGAGGACAGAGGAGGCTGTCGGATCCCCTGGAACTGGAGTTACAGACAGTTGTTAGCTGCCATGTGGGTGCTGGGATTTGAACCCAGGTCTTCTGCAAGAACAGCCAGTGTTATTAACAGCTGAGCCATCTCTCCAGCCCCATATTTTTCAATACTGTGAATGGACGCAGGCTCTGTCTGCACTGGGCAGGCACTCACCACTGAGCCTCACTCAATAAAACCTGGGAATGAACCAGGCTGGGCTGTGAATGCAGTGTAGACACACACAAGGTAGTTCTGGAATTACCGGAGAGGGAAGACACACAGACAAATAAAATAGTTCCAGTGTGAAAATGTGGGGCTGACGTGGAGGCATGAGGCAAGTGTGCAGTGGCCTTGATGGGGATCAGGGGAGTGTGTGACAGTGAGGGGACAGGAGGGGACCTTGGATCATGGCTGTAAATACCAGCTTGGAAGGGGGGAACTTTGAACCCCTTGTTGGGCCACCCCGGGCCTGTGCCCTGGCCATGTCCCCCAGGGTGGGGACAGAGGCCTCAACTGGAAAGTTTCGGGGAGTTAATCACCCCACACCCCCAATCAGCTAGTAAATGGAGACTTTGACCCTCTCTTGTCTTCTTATCTCAAGAGTGGGAGGTCAGTCCTCTGGGAGGACACTTGGTGGTGCCCTGGGGATGGGACAGGAGGCATGGGTGTGGCCATCTTGGAAACCAGGTGCTTAGCCTGTGTCCTCGCCACTACAAATGAATCTCCAGAGCTAACAGCACTCATGGCTTTCAAAGTGTTTTTTTCAACATTCCAAGCACATTGATTGAGCACCTACTGTATATTCATATCTCATTCTAGATGGTCAGATGGAAAATATTTTTGGGGTCTATGAGTGTGGCTCAGCTTTAGGGGGCTCAGATTGGGGCTCATCAATAGGGAACTTGTACTTGTCAAATAAACAATACATATACACATATGAAGAGAATAAAATACTGGTTGGTATACAGCAGGCATCTGTTAATGCTTATTCCTAACCTCCCATATGGCAGGTGCATGTTAATGCCTGGTTTACAGTAGGTGTTCTATAATGTCTGGTATACAACAGGCAACACATTAATATAAAGAAGAGGTGCCACATCAGTGCCTGCTGTACCTGTTTAACCTGTGATTAGAGGGCATGGGCACAAGTAAGGAGATACAGTATTATTTCTAAGCAATTGGGCTTTCGTTTGCTCTGAACTGGTGACAATATTTTTATTTATTTATTTTTTGGTCTTTTTGAGACAGGGTCTTCCTGTAGCCCCAGCTGTCCTGGAACTCACTATGTAGACCAGGCTGGCCTTGAACTCACAGAGATCCGCCTGCCTCTGCCTCCCAAGTGCTGGGATTAAAGGCGTGTGCCACCACGCCCAGCACCTCAGCTTTTTTTTAAATCTAAGAACCTCGATAGGTTGCCAGGCCACAAGTGCAGGAAGTCTGACTATGACCCTGTGCACTCTGTAGCTTGGAAGAGGGTGTGTTTGACTGCAGACAGTGGTTCCCCTCACTGTAAGGTAAAAAATCGTCTCCACATAGGAAAGAGAGAGGAGTATAGTTGTACGGTGGTGGCTCAGCAAGTCAAGTTTACTGGAGTTGTTGGGAGCAAGGGGGGAAACAGGTCCCCTCCCTCCCTGTGATTTGCTGCTGAATTACTAGTCGCCGGCTCTGATGGCAAAGCCTCAGCAGCCACCCAGCACATACCACAGTTCTACAACTTTGCCTTCTTCATCTATAGTGTGTGAAGGGACCCTTTGAAAATAAATGACCAAGGGCTAAGGGTGCTCAGTGGCACACGTGTTCAATCCCCAGCAGTGGAGGGGAGCGGGTAAAATATCTTAAGCGATGCCACCCAAAGATTGTCCTTTCTAGTCTCAAATCCTGTGACTGGGATCACTCGACAGCACTGTGACATTTTGTTTTTTCAATAATGTGTCTTTCTCTTTTTTTTAATATTTTAGTTATTGTTTTTATTTTATGTGTGTGAGTGTATTATCTGCATGTAGGTGAGTGCACCCCTGTCGTGCAATGCCCGTGGAGGACAGAAGAGGCCATCGGATCGCCTGGAACTGGAGCCACGGGACAGTTGTTAGCTGCCTTGTGGGTGCTGGGATTCGAACCTGTGTCTTCTGCAAGAACAGTGTTTCTAACCGCTGAGCCGTCTCTCCAGCCTCCTGATGTGTCTTTCTTAACTGACCAAATGCTGCCTCGTTTGGCTCCTAAGTCAATAAAATAAGCAAAAAAATTGAAGAAAAAAAGATGCACCCATGTCTGGTATACAGTGGGTAGAGCATTAATGCTTGGTATACATTTGGCATCGCATCCATGCCTGGTACACAGTAGACAGATCACGCTTCTACCCTATCTTGTATACCGTAGACACTGTATTACTAGCAGGTATATAGTAGGTGCTGCCCTAATGCTTACTATACAGCAAGCATGGCATTAATGCTCGATCTACAGTAGGCTGCTTCATCAATGCCTAGTCTACAGTTGGTATGTTCATGCTTGAGCCCTGTCTGGTATGTACCAGGTGCTACATCAGTGCATTACATACAGTGGGCCATGCATTATCGCTTGGCATACAGTCTGTGTTTGTATCAATGAATGGCATGCAGTAGGGCATGCATCATTGCCTGGTATACAGTCGATGTTGCATACAGTCTCGTCCGCAGTAGGCGCTGCATCTATGCTTGGTATACAGTAGGAATGTGGTCCAGAGTGGGCGAGCTGGCCAGGCCGGGGCGTTTCCGCTCACCGCCAACGGCGATGGCCCTAGTGCGCTCTAAGCGCAGGTACCTGCCTCGGGGCTGCGTCTGAGCCTCGCGAATCGGAACACCGCTGCGCGGAGCCAAAAGGAACCGAGCATAGCCAAGCGGAGCCTCCCTGAGCCGAGAGGAGCCGAGCGCAGCCTCGCGGAGCTTCCCTGAGCCGAGAAGAACCGAACGGAGCCGAGCTCCGGCTGGCACAGTCCTCCCCATTCCCATAAGCCCAGGCGTCTGCGGCCGGTGGCCGCCAGCCTCAGCTCCCTCCCTCGTCGACGCAAGCCCGCCGGCCCCGCCCCCGGAGGGGCAGGCCCCGCCCCCGCCGCCTGCTCCGGTTCCGCCCCGCGGCGCGCGCGCAGCCCTCCGGTCCCTCCCATTGGCCGCGCCGCCTGCCCATCTCGGGGCCCGAGGCAGCGCTTCGGGTCGTCCGGCGCCGTCGCTCGGTGGCGGCGGCTTCGGCGGCTGCGCTGCGCGGCTGCGGCTCCGAGAGGAAGGCGGGACGAGGTCGAGGCCGACCGGCGACGGCCGGGGGACCGCAGCAATGACTCTGGAATCCATGATGGCGTGTTGCCTGAGCGACGAGGTGAAGGAGTCGAAGCGCATCAACGCGGAGATCGAGAAGCAGCTGCGGCGGGACAAGCGCGATGCACGGCGGGAGCTAAAGCTGCTGCTGCTGGGTGAGCGTCGCGGCCACCTCGGGAGGGTGGGTGACCATGGCATCCGGGTCCTTCCCGACGGTCAGTCCCGCCCGCCGCCCTCCGTCAGTCTTCGTCGAGCGTGCAGGAGCGTGCACGGCGATTCCTCTTTGCAGGGGCAGTTTTGCAAACCAGGGGGCCACCGCGGGCTGACTGCGGCGCCGGGTCATCCCCCGACGCCTGGAACATTCCTCAGTGGTCAGCTCTTCCGGGTTCTGTCTGCAGGGGCAGCTTTGCAGACAAGGGGCCACCCCGCGCCGACCACAGCGCCTGGTCTCCCCCTTGGTCACCCCTCTACACCTGGAACGTTCCTCAGTGGTCAGCTCTTCCGGTTCTCTCTGCTGCAGGCTCAGCTGGGCAACCAGGTGGCCCCGGGTGGCATCCGTCCTCCCCCAGCCTCCCCAAACCCATGATTTGGGCCAGGACACTGCAGTTGATCCCACAAGTGGTCAGCACTTCCGGGATCGCTGCATCCTAGCGATCTGGTCTGTCCCAGGTCCCCCCACTTCACTTCACTGTAGTCAGTGACCTGTCATCCTGGGCCCAGCGTGTGTGACCCAGGTCACAGCCATTAAGACCCTTGGTGGCTAATCTCTATCAGACAGGTCAGGGTCCCCCTACCCAGACCCCAAATTCCTTTGGGGTCAATCTCCTGCCATCCAGACCTCTATGTGACCCAGGTCAGTCTCTGTTAGGGTCCTTCTAACAAGACTCCAGATTCCTTTGGGGTCAGTCTCTTGTCTGCGCTCTGCAAAGCTGGTCTGCATTTTCTCACTTGGCTCCTCATCCCCCCCAAAAGACTCCACTGTGCCCTCTGCCCCCTTAATGTTCTCCCTTCATGGCCAGTCCTCTGCCTCCCACCCTGGACAGGTAGATCCCCCAAGTCCCCTACCTTGCAGTGCAATGAAGAATTGTGGGTGGCCTCTTTTCTTTAAGCTGCTTAGCCGGAGGCCTGTGGGTTGTCACAGGCCCTGTGTTCTGTTTCCTGGGGACCCTCTTTGGAGCAGCCTGGTCCATCCTGTCAAGGGGCACAGTGTGTCTCTGGTCTCTCTGGGGCTCTGATTCCTCGTGTGGTCCACCTGTTGCTAAGAGTCAGGGGGCCCAGGTTAAGCTGTCCTCTTGTCACCCCCAATAAGGGCCCATATGAGGTTCTGCAGGTGTTTACCAAACAGACAGGGAGCACTGGCCGCCCCTCCTAGCTCCAGGGTGAGCTGCAGCCCAGGACAGAGGCTGGGGTACACAAAGGTTGGGTGCATAAAGATGGCCTTGAGGGATCTGAGGGAGGGACTCTGGGGGCGTGTTCCCACCAGCAGCCACAGGTTATGGGAGCCTTGGAGGCAGGTGGCAGAGCATTGGAAGTGTCCTAGGGGAGCTGGCAGGTGTTGGGGGACACTATGCCTCTTCCCTTTGCCTTTGCAGCAGTGTGACTCTTGGGGTCTCAAAGCCTCTGTTACCTACCCCCAGCATGCTGTGGTTTTCCTATAATTCTAAGCTGCTTTTCCAGGAGAGGAGAGGACTCTGCAGCCAAGAAGGACCTGCAACGCCCACCCCCACCAGGGTAGCCCTGGTTTGATTTCTGTAGAGGATCAGTGGCTTTGTGTTTGGGGACAGGGTTTGTAAATGCTGTCTGTTAGGGTGACACCAGGTGACTGAGTCGTGGGGCAAGTCCTCCTGGCACTGTGTCCTCCCCAGTGCTGGGCTTGAAGTCCTCTGGGATTCCAGGGTGCTGTCATCCCTCCCACGCCTGCTGAGCTGGTCAGCAGCTGAGGGGCTTGGTGTGGGTGTGGTCCTGTGCATATGACCATGGGTCCCCAGCTCCCACCTATGTCCACAGAGCACCTGTGTTCTACCCCTTCCCTGTTGAGCAACCCCAGCTTGGAAATTGGGCTCCTGCACCTGTTCGGGAGTCTGGGGTCCAGGTCATAGCACTAGAGGAAGCCTGAGGAAGGTCTGGCTCCCTGGGGAGGGCGGGAGTCAACGTTTCTACTGTTCCAGGAGAGTATCCAGGAGGAGGTAACCAGCTGTGACTCTTGACAGGTGGGGAAAAGTGTCCCAGCAGCCATTGGAATCAGGCTTAGGGGGAGGAGGGTTCTGTGACCAGGATGAGGGAAAGCCTGCTTGTGGGGACCTGCTCCACCCCTGCATGCAGCACCTGCAGTCCATTGTCCCTGGGTCATCATAGACAAAGTTGAGAGTGGGGGGGTCTGTGGCCTCAGTCACATCAGATGTGGTCCCCTCACACCTGGGTCTGTAGTTGCTGTCTAGGAAAGGGCTTTGTCCCGAGGTGTCCTGCCCCACCATCCCCTGGGCTGCAATTGGCCTGGGGAGGTCACTCAGCAAGGCAGAGATGGACTGCCTCCATGGACTGGCTCTTTCTCTGGGTGACCATCTCGGGCACTGCAGGGTGCTGAGCAGTGACCCCAGATGCACCAGATGTCACTCAGTGTTTCCAGGCCCCAGTCTCCCCAAACTCCAGTGGCCCTGCCCCATGGTGGAACTTCACACAGAATGACACTTGCAAAACAGCCCTGTGATCAGTGAGTTTGCAAAGCCCCACGTGTGTGCTCAGAATACAAGCCATTCGGGCCTGTGCGTGTGCCTGTGCTTCAGGCCTGTCCGGTGGCTATGGCAATGGCCAGTGGCCTGGGACTAACTTGAGTGGACCCCCCCTCTAGTGAGCAAGGTTGCCACCTCTCTCTGTCGCTACTGTCCTGGGGTCCCATCTGTCCTGGGGTCCTCTCTGTGCTGGGGCCTCCTGTCTTGGGGTCCCCTCCATCCTAGGTGTCCTCTGTCATGGGGTCCCATCTGTCCTGGGGTCTCCTCTGTCTTGGGGTCCCCTGTGTTATGGGGTCTTCTCTGTTCAGGGATCCCCTGTGTAATGGGGTCCCCACTGTCCTGGGGTCCCCAGGTGTACTCAAACTCCACACAGCCCTGGGTCCCCACATACCGTCAGAGTCCCTGTCACAGGAGTGCACCATCCAGTGCTGTGGATGCCACTGGTTGGAAATCCTTGTCCCCCCAGGCCGGCAGGGCTGGGCCCAACTTTCTAAATAAAGCAGGCGGTTAGTTCCAGGGCTTCCTGTCCGGGGATCCGGCGGGGGTGGCCCAAGGGCTGGGCAAGCCTCCCTGGGAAGGAGGCCTGAACTGGCTCCTGCTCCCCCCCCCCCCCAGAACCTGGTGGCCCTCACCCCACTCCCCAGGACGCAGACTTAAGTCCCATCCTTACCTGCTGTTGTAACCTGTCTCAGACCTCATGGACCTCAGTTTCTTTCTCTGTCCCCAGAGTCAGAGGTGCACCACCCCTCCCCCATGGGGCCCCCCAAACTGATTCCCAGTGAAGGGCAGGTTGGGAGGACGGGACTGGGGTTTCAATGTGCATCCTGTGAACACCAGGGAGATGAAGGCTGGAAGATCAGGAGCTCGGGTCATCCTCAGCTACACAGGGAGTTTGAGGACAGCCTGGGCTACATGGGACCCTGGGTCAGAGGTGGCTGGGTTATTCCAGCTCTGTGTCCACAGGTCACCACAATCTCTACAGCATCTGACCATGCTGTGGGAAGCAGCACTGGACAGAAGGTCACGTCCTGCATCTGGGATCAGGACTTGATGGCCCCAGGTGGGGACAGGCTGTCTGGCCCTGGGGCCATGGGGCCTTCTCTGGGAAGACCACTGACTGGGTCCCTTTAGGTCCCTAGTAGGAGGCCAGCCAGGGCCCCATGATGCTGGGGGTGATGCAGTGGGGCTGGGGGATAGGGAGTTTCTGCCTACAGCAGGCTGGGGTCCATTTGGCCCCCCCATGGTTGTTAAGGCACAGGGTGGGGAGCCTACAGGTGTGGGTCACCAGATACCGTGGTCCACCGGTACTGGTGTAGCATGTAGGGGACCCAGTGTGTGCCCTGCTGTCTTGTGTGGCTGTGTGTGTGCAGTTTCCCCAGGGCTGTGCAGGCCGAGAATTGGGGGTATCTAGATTCACTCCAGCTGCCCACACCTGGTGGCCACAGTTGGGACACTTTGCTTTTGCTGTGGTATTCTGTATCCCCCCCTCCCCTCCAGGATCTGGGGACACTGCTCTGGGTTGTTGTAAGTGGGGTATCCCCAGCCTCCACCCACCATGCCAAGAGCCCACCCCCTGCAGTGTGACAGCCACCATATTTCCACATACTCCTGGGCCAGGGGGGCTGTGGGCCACTGACCTATGCCCTCCTACTCCATGGGATTGTATGTGGGATCCGTGTGACAGTTATGTTGTCTATGACAGCCCAGGGACCCATGTTCCCCAGGTGCCAAGCTGCCCACCTGGGGGTTTCTGTCTCCACAGTATCATTGGTCCCCCCACCTCTGCAGGGGACCCAGCAAACCCACTTCCGGGCCTCCTTAGGGTCTGAGGGGGCCGTGTGACAGGATGCAGTTCCCCTGGGGAGCAGGGTGCTGTCACATCATGGTCGTCCGGTAAGGCTCCCCATGGTGGCCAGTGGGCCCCTGCTCTGGGCAGACATCCCTGGAGCTGGGCCGTCCTGCAGTTGACAGCTCTGAGCCCAGGCCTGGCATGGCGGTGTCCCTGTAGCTGCTAGTGACAGTCCTCCCATGTCACCGAGCACAGCCCTGCGATGGGGGACAGCACCTCAGGGGAGTGGACGGAGCCGAGGACTCCTGTGGATGTTGGAACTAAACAGGGGTCTGCACTTTCTGATGTCCCGCCCCTAAGTTACCTAGTCCCTCATTGTGACAGCCAGCTCTGCCCCGTCCCTGCCTCTCAGTACTGTGGTAGAGTCACAAGGGGGAATGCTGGGGCTTTTGTTGATGCTTGTTTGTTTTTATTTTTTTTTTAGTGGGAAACGAGGTCCCATGTAATCCAGGCTGGCCTCAAACATGTAGCTGAGGATGACCCTGAATCCCTGATCCTTCTGCTTCCATCTCCTGAGTGTTAGAATGTAGGCATATGTCACCATACCTGGTTTACGGGATACTGGGGATGAACCCAG